CCAGGATCGAACATTGTTTCGTTCTGCTGTGCATGGAGTCGCTATGAGTCGGTTCCGACTCGATGGCACCTGACAACAACAACAACAACAATATACATATCTTGGGAATGTAGTGGCTTTATAGGATAAGCACTGGACTGTGAACACTAGATTAGTGGCTCGAGCCCACCAGCTGCACCATGGGAGAAAGATGAGCCTTTTTGGTCCCACAAAAGATTTAAAACCTTGGAAACTCTATACAAGGTCACTATGAATTGACATCAATTCCACGGCACTTAACAACAAAATATATATCCTGGTGTGGCGCTGTAGGATAAGCATTGGACTACTAACCACAAGATCAAAAATACTTGTTGATAACCAGTATTAGAGAAATTTTGATGAGTCAGGAACTTTCATTCAATGCTCGTGGTAATACATTTTGGCTCATTAATTCCCATTATTAAAATATATCCCAAGGAGACTATTCAAGTTATAACAAGTCCCAAGCTTAAGGATATTAGCCTGAGTGTTAGAAATATCAGAGTGAGAAAACTGGAAAAAAGTCCACAAATAGGAATTGTTTATATACATAATTTAGTATATGAAAAATATACTTGATAAAATGATACTTGGTAAGCCATTAAAATATGTAACTGAGTATTAGAATCATATTCTTTTCTCATAAAATATTATTAAGTGAAAGCTTTTTATGGCTAGCATGATAAAACGTACATATGAAAAGAAATAAGACTTAAAAGAAAATACTCTCCTGAATGTAAAACCATGCTCTCTCTGGAAGGTGGGATTAAAGGTAATATTTACTTTTTCACTTTTTTGGCCTTTCAGAGTCTTTTCTTTTTTGACAATAAAAGGAATTTAATACTTTAATAAAAGTATTTAAAACAAAACCACAATTCTATCATTTATAGAAAATGATAGTTGAAAATGATTGGCTAAGATAGAAAGGTTAAGATAATATTTAGTTGTCCTAACTTTATATTCAGGATCCATGGTACAGTAGTGGGATATGAGTTGGGCTGCTAACCACAAGGTCAGTAGTATAAAGTTTCCAGCTGTTCCAGTTTTTATGTAAGTAATGGACTTGCATGAACGAAAATACCTAATAGTTTAAAAAGAGTGCTGGCCTAGTTGTTTATTAATTTTAAATTAATGAAGAACAAATATCTGGAAAATATTACTTTATTTGCATAAGGAATTGAAAATATATAGGAGAGTCCTGATAATGTTTAACATGTTCTAATAAATCTCAATGAAACTGCAGTAATTTTAGTTTGTTGAGTATCCTAGTGATATTTTATATCTAAATCATACTTCATTTGGAAAGGACAGAATGAAAATATTGTTTCACTATATTATATTCTTGGCCTAACTTCAAAATTACTTTCTTGTCTAAATTTCATGTTATATGAGTTTTCTAGTTATTTGTAAATGAACTTCAAAATCCAAGAATATATTAGGATTAAAGGGTCAGAACATGGTCTGGGAGAGGCATATGTCTTGTGTTTAGGGTTTAACAGTTTGTCATTTTTCTTTTCTCTTCTTTCCTTTTTTGGCTTCTTTCTCCTCCACTCTGTAGCTAGATAAAGGAGCTAAGCCTTGCGTACCAAATAAACTGGGATGTTTCCCTATCCACCAGGCTGCATTTTCAGGTGCTAAAAAATGCATGGAAATAATATTAAGTTTTGGTGAGTAGAGGCTTTAATATATTATATACTTGTTTTTAAAACTTTTTGTTGTCAATTTAATGATGGATTAATAGATAAGATCATCAGCTTTGCATTCAACAAATTATATGCTTTGTTTCATCTCAATGGTTACAATCCCCTCCATGCAACAACAGTTATCCTACTTTTCATCTTATATTTCATAAATAAAGCAAAAATACTTGATATACTCATACATAGCTAAAAAATATATATTCGTTTAAATGTCCTAAGGGCATATTTTGCAAGCCTCCTGCCCATAGGCACACAGCCATACTTAGTCCATGGGTCTACAGCCTGTAGCTACTCTATCTCTCTATGCCTTCATCTCTGCCACTGACTCTGCTGTCACCATTTTTCTAGGTAGGATCTCACGCTCCACTCATGCTCGTCCCCCTGAATGGTCCTGGGATCCTCTGTTTCTGAAATGAAAGATTAGCTACTCCCTCCTTTTAGTTACACATCTTTTACAATTACAGTCGTGACAATCACAATTAATCCTGCTAACAGTTACTCACAAATGAATCATAAAATCCTATCAGCATCTTCCCCTATCTCCTTTTACCAGATCCATCTGGAGAAGAGGACAACTATTCAGTGGGGATTCTACCTTACCCACTTCCTTCTGAAATTAAACACATTCATGAAAACTTGTAAGTTAGCCACTTCATGCCTTTATAGACCCCCCCTATTTGATGCCTAATGTCTAAATTGCCTGTCTCGATCAGCCCATTACACGGAGGAAGCTAGATTGTTCCTGGATATGAAGAATCCTCCAAAACTGGTTGGGATTTTAAACAACTGCATCCATAAGCAAAGGTCCAATTCACCAAATTGTAGCAATTTATAATTGTTCAGTTTCAAGCATCTTTATCTTCATCTGGTCGAGTTTTAGTCAGCTAGCCAACCAAGCTAGGTCAAATGGCTACTAGCTGCGAATTTGGAACTACATACCTGCCTCTCTGCACTTCAGATCAGCTGGCCGCTCCACTCTCAGCTCTATCCCTCAGTGGCTAGGTCAGTGCCTATGGGTCGGGGATTTCACACATCTCCCTAAATTTCAGATCAACCCTCTTCTCTTCTCTCTCTCTTCTTGAGGTCAACAGGTGTCAATGGAACATGGCCAAACTTAGTCCATGTCTTCATTGCTGAAATTCCCCCACTTCTACTCACAAGTAGGCTGAGGTGGTCAGCAGCAAGCATACTAGACTGCTTGCAGGTTTCTTTTGAGTTTTAGTCTTAGAAGGGAGTTTTCCTTTATGGGCTGACTTTTCTTGCGTAGATTCCTCCAAAGAAAACAGTTTCCTTGATATTCTAACAGCCCAACGGTCCACTTTTTCCCTGCCAGTCTTTCTTTCATTAATATTCCTCTGTTCTCCCAGCAGTTCTAGGTTGGTCTGCATGTCTTTTCACGTGGGAATATCCCAACTCAGTAGGTGCTGGGTGTGGCTCAGGATTCCACCTAAGGCCCCATACTCTACAAAGTCTTAACAAGAAAACTATTTCCCTGGGCAAATTCTAATTCCCCTTTTATTTAATCCAATCAGTTATAGGCTGACGATGCTTTCTGTAATCAAAATTCCCAATATTCATTTCTATCACATTTAAATGTTTGTTTTATAATGGTTGGCAGGTGAAACCAATATCCCCAAGACAGTCAAACACATAAACATTTTTTGCCCCTCCTTTACCCATTCAGACTATGTCTTGATCGTGTATTACAGAACATCGTTGTTCCAAGGTTGTGTATAAATAACAATTTACCTCTATCCCATTTAGGCATACTTCCCCCTCCCTAAGTCTTTTCCTTTCTTCACTGTTCACCTGCTGCCCTCCCTCTTCTTGTGTGCTGCCCTCCCCCTCCTTGTATATTACCCTTTAACCTGTGAATTAATCTCCCCTCCCTGCAACCCCTGGTAACCATCAAAGAATGTTTCATTTACTATGGAAATCTTTTAAGCCTTTACAGTAATGGTCTCCTGCAATTTTTGTCCTTTTGTGATTGCCTAATTTCACTTAGCATAATGTCCTCAAGGTTCAATCATGTTATGATGTGCTTTGCAGATTCATGTTTATTCTTCAAGGTGATATAGTATTTCATTGTGTGTAGGTATCAAAGTTTTTTATCCATTCTTCCATCCATGGGCACCTAGGCTGTCTCCATCTTTTGGCTATTGTGAATAGCGCTGCAATCAACATTCATGTGCATGTATCTATTCGTGTCCTGTCTCGTATTTCTTGTGGATATATGCCAAATAGAGGGATTGCTGGGTCATAGGTATTTCTATTTCTAACTTTCTAAGCACCATGTCATTTTCCATATTGGTTGAGCCATTTTGCAGTACAACCAGCAATATAGGAAGGTCCTAGTCTCTCCACACACTCACCAGTATTCATTGTTTTCTGTGTTTTTGAACTTCGTTCTTAATGATGATGTGAAATGATATCTCATTGCTGTTTAGATTTGCATCTCTCTAATGGCTAATGATCCTGAGCATTTCTTCATATTTTATTGAATGTCTGAATGTCTTCCTTGGTGAAGTTCATGTCCTGTGGCCATTTTTTAAATTGGATTCTTTTTTTCTTGTAGAGATGTTGTAGTTTTCTATAAATTTTAGAGAATAATCCCATGTCTAATATGTCATTGCAAAAAAATTTTTGCCAGTCTGTGGGCTCCATTTTTATTCTTTTGGTAAAATCTTATGATACACCTAAGTTTCTAATTTCCTGTATGTCTTAGTCATCTATTTTGTCTTCTATTGTTTGTGTGTGTGTTTTCACAATGTGTGATATTATGCCATATATTAGAGCCCCTAAGTTTGTCCTTATTTTTTCATTGATGATCTTTACAGTTCTAGATTCCACATTTAGGTCTTTAATCCCCATTGAGTTTGTTTTTGTATATGGTGTGAGATATGGATCTTGTTTCATTCTTTTGCAAATCAGTTTGCAGTTTTGCCAGTAACATTTGTTGAAGAGACTATCTCTTCCAATTTAATGTGTTTTAGCCCTTTATAAAAATCAGTTGACTGTCTGTGGATGAATTTACTTCTGGGTTCTCAATTCTGTTCCACTGATCTATGTATCTTTCATTGTACCAGTACCAGGCTATATTAACCACTGTGGCTATGTAGTAAATTTTGATATCAGGGAGTGAGAGGCCTCCCACTCTGTTCTTCTTCTTAAATAGTGCTTTGCTTCTCCAAGGTCTCTTTCCTTTCCATATAAAGTTTATTAACATATTTCCCAACTCTTTAAAGAATGTTGTTAGAAACTGGATTTGGATTGTGTTATGTCTGTAGATTGCTTAGGGTAGTATTGCTATTCTCACAGCATTAAGTCTTCCTATCCATGAGCATGGTATATTCTTCCATTTTTGTAAATCTCTTTTGGTTTCTTGTAGTAGTACTTTATAGTTTTTGCTGCAGATCTTTTGTTTCTTGGGTAAGATTTATTCCTAAGTATTTAGGTGGCTATTATACGTGGTATTGTTTTCCTAATTTCCTTTTCAAAGCTGTCTTTATTAGTGTAGTGGAATTCAGTGGGAATTAGCATGTTGATCTTGTACCCTACCATGTTGCTGAATCTTCCAATTATTTCCAATAATTTTCTTATTGAGTCTTTGGGATTTTCTATGTATAGGATCATATCATCTACAAATAGAAAGAGTTTTACTTCTTCTTTGCCAATTTGGATGCTTTAAATTTCCCTATCTTGCCTTATGGTTCTTGTTGAGACTTTCACACAATGTTAAATAGTGGTGATAAAGGGCATCCTTATCTGTTTCCTGTTCACAAAAGGAATGCTTTAGTTCCTCTCCATTGAGAGTGATGTTGGTTGTCAGTTTTGTATATATGCTCTTAATTATGTTGAGGAATTCTCATTCAGTTTCTACTTTGTTGAGTGTTTATATCAAGAATGGGTATTGGATTATGTCAAATGCCTTTCTGCAGCAATTGATATGATCATGTGGTTCTTACAATTTTTATTTATATGGTGTATTATGTTGATTATTTTTTCTAATATTGAACAATCATTGCATCCCTGGTATGAATTCCACTTGGTTGTATGTATTATTTTTTTGATATATTGTTGAATTTTATTGGCTAGGATTTTGTTGAGAAATTTTACGTTAATAAGGGATGGGGATGGTGGTGGTGGTTATGTGCTGTGGTCGGTTCTGACTCATAGGGACCATGAATAGGGTTTCTGAGGCTGTAAATCTTTATGGGAGCAGAAAGCCTCATCTTTATCCTGTGAAACTGCTGGTAGTTTTGAACTGCTGACCTTGAGGTTAGCAGCCCAACTTGTAACCACTACACTACCAGAGCTCCTTTCATGAGGGATATTGGTCTGTAATTTACCTTTTTAGTGATGTCCTTGCCTGGTTTTAGTATGAAGTTTATCCTCACTTTATAAAATGTGTTAGGATGTCTTCCATCTTTTTCTATATTCTGGAATAGGTTGAGTAAAATTGGTGTCACTCTTCTCTGAATAATGTCACCAGTAAAGCCATCTGTCCCTGGTCTTTTTTTCATTAAGAGTTTTTTGATGACCTGATTGATTTCTTCTTTTGTTATAGGTTTGTTCAAGTTTTCTTCTTCACTCTGTGTTAGTTTAGGTAGGTCATGTTTTTATAAAAATGTATCTATCCATTTCCTCCAGATTTGCAAATTTGTTGGAGTACAACTCTTCATAGCATTCTGTTATTTTCCTTTTTATTTATGTTGGTTTTGTTGTTGTAACATTATCTATATGGATTTCTATGCGTGCTATTTTTGTCTTCTCCCTGTTTTCTTTTGTTAGATTTGCCAATGGTTTGTCACTTTTATTAATCCTTTCAAAGAACCAGCTTCTTGTCTTGATGATTTTTGCTATTATTTTTCTGTTTTCTATTTCATTTATTTTGGCTCAAATCTTTATGATTTCTTTTCTTCTGGTGACTGTAAGATTACTTTGTTGGTCTTTTTCTAATTGTTGGA